GCGCCGGCAACTGTACGGAGACCGGTGTCTAACACTTAACTCCAGTTTAGTTCAATTGTAGAGATGCTTTATGTAACTGTAGGGGAGTATTTTCAGCGATTTATACTAACATTACGAGTATGCTGCGATATTGAATCGGTTGGAAAATCTGGTGAGGTGACACGGGCATCGCCGTATGGTCCATATCCCGTGGTCTACCGTTGAACACCTCAAAATGCACGCAAATTATTTTTCCTTGCCCAAGGGATATCGTTACCGGCAAATCCTAATGCATTGTCCCTAACTTTGCACTGACGCTTAAAGTCTGATCTCTTCCAGTTCAGTAAAATACTTGGGAATGACGCTGAACTGCGGGCTAACTTAATCCCTCACGTGTACGAATCATTCACTAAAATTAGTTGACTGTCCTATGTTACACGTCTCTGGTTCTCTTTCGTACTCCATTTTTTTCATCCGGCCTTTTTTCACTGCATGTTTGTTACCATACTGGATCTCTTTCTCTCCCGTTATCTCTTTTGATCTCGTGTGTAAGAACCACAAAGTAGTTGCTAGATCAGTAACATCTTTCCCGGTTTAGTGGCATTTGAAGACTGGATCCGGTTAACATCATTGTAGCCAGCCATGTCACCCCATATAACAAGCGTGCATCTAAAATACTCGCTGATGTTAACCATCTCCTCCACACGGTGTTGTCCGAATGCGTAACGGTCTCGACCAGACAGAGCTAAAAAACTATATACGCCCTCCCAAGGGCCTGTGGTGGTACAACAGTAATACCTTGCTCGTCACTTTTTTGAATGCTCAAAATTCCGTCATTAAAGGACTGGTTAGTGAATTACTTCGGTGATGTAAGCTCCGTCAGGTTTTTTGACGATTATAGTTTTACGCCTATTCGCATGTATTGTTCTATTTCATTATTTATCCGTGTCGATGACGTGGGTGTTAGAGCTGAATATGCACTCTTCATCGGTGCATAAAGCACATTCTTGACTTGACCAACCAGTGCTGCTGTATCAAGACTGCGCCAAGTCTTTGGCTGTCCAGAGACAGTTGTAACTGACAACCGCACCCAATTCATTTCGGCAACTTTCACGGAGTTCTTCAACTAATGCGCCTTCCAGCACATTCGTTCACTGGCGTTTCACCCATAGTCGAGTGGCCAGGCAGAGAAGTTCGTGGATACGTTCACGCAAGCTCTCCTCAAATCATAAGGGTAAGGGCTATAGAGGTGATCAACTAGTCCATCTTCTTGTACCGATTAACACCGAGTTCACAAGCAGCGTATGGATTTTCGCCAGCACAGAAAGCTCATTGTGCTCTCCGATGCCATTCGACAGCGCTCAGAACCCTCTTGGTGTAGGGAATGGCAGGCAGCGCGGAATGAAGCCACTGACGACCAAACTGGGTGCCGTCGGTCCGCCTCGCCTTCTGGGCTAGAGTCCACGTGACCCGCCTTGTGCTTGGCTGGAGACTTTACAGAACATGGCTCGCAACCGCTACCACTGGCGCGTCTGCTGCCGTTTCCTAGTCGGACTGTCCGTTTAAAGTGTGTTTTGTGCTGGATTAGCTGCGGGTTAATAGCTGATTATGACACAGAGCAGTTAAAGCCGCAAGAAAGCTGTATCACTGATGCCGCCTACTCTTTGCACAATAGCCAGCTGTTTGTGACGATATGCTGTTAACAAAAAATGTAAGCTCTTCGACCCTGGGTATTTGCTTAGGGCGTTATGGTTTTCCGGTAAGTTCCCCTTCTCTCCCTCTTATTATTCTTTATTCCATGGGTCATCATGGTTGTATGGCACCGATGCATCAGTTCAAATGGCTGATGTACTGCTGTTGTTGATTGTCTTTGAAAGGCACTGCAGAATAAAACAAGGTTTTAATCGGCGGTTTGAAGCACAATAAAGACCATTCACGCGGGAGAGACGGTATTAGTACGTGACTATCATGAACGCCACACAATGTGTACTCCAGGCACGAGCAGAACAAGCGCGTGGGTGTCATTTATGACGTGATCGTGGGAACGCAGATCTGGGCCCGCTATGCAAACCAGCTACGGTCAACGCTGAGCCAACCAGAAGATACGAAGCCTGCCGATCTCCTGTTTGATTTGTTGGTGGAAGGCTTCAACTTGCCAAAGTAGTCCGTGGATGACTGCTATCAGTCGAGCAAAGAACCCAGACCACATAGTCCAGAACCCGCTTTTCGAGCACTTCAGCCGAGGCGATGGACTGACAGACAGAGAACACCGTGCACAAGACTACAAGTTAATCCCAGGCTTTCATCATACGATGCAAACGCCGTCTCAGGAGGGGTGTTCAGGAGAAGATAAGAGTTTTCCGGAAAAGCCATTATTTCAATGATTAACCGGTTGTTGCTGATTACCGCATCGATTTAGAACCTTATGGAATGTTCCAAGTATTGCACGCTATTGCCAGCCTCCTGAAGATTAATTGGATCAGTATGACACTGCTAATTCTGCCAGCTGACTCTTATTCTAGAAGTTGAAGGTCACTAAGTGACTTATAGGTACGAAAAGTTATTCTTCACTTGTACAGTGATTTTGGCGGCGGTTAACGAGACATTTTGTTTAGATCATTTGATTTCTGACTTTTCCTTCGGTTGGGCTAGTGGTCTTGTGAAGCAATTAAGTGCATATTTCGGAATGGCAACAGCACTACAAACCTCCTGCTTGATCGCTCCAGTTAGACTGCAACCGCCGACGGATTTGAGAGTTGACGCAGTTCATCTGGACTTCACAAAAGCGTTCGGCCGTCTGAACCACCGCATCCTCATTCACAAGCTTCAGAGCTGTGGATTTGATAACCCAATTCTCGTGTGGATAGGTGACTTCCTTATTCAATCTCATCTGAATGTGAGTTCTCAACGCCATCTCTGACCTTATCGATGTTCAATGCGGAGTGTCACAGGGCTCAGTGCTTAGTCCACGCCTATTCCTGATTTACATGAACGATCTTACGAGTGGTCACTACCAATTTCTTACTCTTCGCTGATGATCTCGAGAAATGACGGGTCATCGAAACAACGCGATCACGTAACGCTTCCGGATGACCTTGATAAGGCGTACGAATGGGCGGCTCAGAACCTGCTACATTTCAACACCACCAAGTGTATGAAATTGTGCATACACCGTCAATCCACTTGCGAGTACATGCTGGGAGATCACATTTTAAAGGGCGCATCCGCTGAATGCCACGTAGATGTGATAGTGCAAGAGGATCTTGGCTGTCACGTCAGGCCGTGAAGGCGTCCGAAAAGGCCAGCAAATACCTTGGCTTTTGCGGAGGACATTCGAGCGTTTCGACCCTTCAGTCTTCTCTCATATGCTCAATGCCTACATTAGGCCCCATTCGGAATACGCCATCCACGCCTGGAAGCACAGGTACAAGCACGACCTCACCGCACTTGAACTGTCACAACTGAGGCTGAAAACGCTGGGCGTCTACAATGGGCAACATTGAAGCCTGTGTGGCGATTTGATAATCACATATTTTATCCTGAGGCATTCAAACCATGCTTGTCGTCAGCTTCTCAACCTGAATCACCATACCACTCTGAGAGGTCATCACAGTATATCCTGTTGGAATGCCGCCGGAGTATTTCTTCACTTCGTGCGTGACAACCTTGGGAGCCCCCACCACGCTGACGGTATTCAAAAGATGTCTCGATAATACACTCATGCATTTACGTACTTATAACCCTCTATGTCCGGACGTCAATCTAACACTACCAATCAAAGTGCTTATTTTCACTTCCTGCGTTTACTTATTGAACGCTGTTGCTGTGGAATATCATTGATGTATCCGAACTGGATTTACCTATCAGTTCAAGGAAGCGGCACACGAATGGGCATTGTCATTCTCATTTTCTTATTTTTTCTCACCTGGTAAGTAGACTGTAACTGCCCCCCATATTAATTTGTGTGCGCACATTCGATTCCCATTTCAAACTATCGTTATGCAGTTAAATCGGTAGACGCCTAAACTGACGACACTTATTTTTTGGTTTATTTAGTGTACCTTCCAAACATACTACGGGACTTGTCAAGTAATTGCATGGAGACAGACGTCCAATAATTGACTCCGGTTGTAAGCATGCTAATTTTACCCCTTCCGATAATGTTTATGGGCATCGCCCAGGTTTAATTGAACTCCTGCTGTGAAACAATCTTGGGTTTTTTTCTATGACGAGACTAACATTATCCTATCACTAGGATGGTTTACATGAGATTATCTTTCTTTATACTGTTGACCGAAATCCAAGTGTGAGCGATATGTGATCCCAAACGAAATTAGCATAAAATACTCTTCTCTGGTCCTCGGTTTTGGTCTGCTCTCCGCATCGGCGCTATCCGACAATCACTCAAGCCATTGTTCTACTTTAGAATGCCCGTGGAAAACTGCTTAGAGTATCTACCATTTAGACAACAAACACCATTAGGCTTCAGTCTCGATTTTCGTTCTTATATAACATCCTGTTGTTTGTACTCACAGTGCGGACCGCACGAAAACCATCACCTGCACCTACTTTTGTCTCCATCCATTTCCGAATAATCGCTCACTCGCATATCTGTGGATAACGTTGGTCTCATTCTGAAAAATCTATTTAGGCCCAATTTTTTACGTGTAAGTTCTCCTTATGATATTTCTTCATTTTTTAACATCTGGTATGTCCACTACAGTTGTAGTTTACCACTTTCCTCTGTTACATTCCCTGGTTGAAGAACGCTTACCTATTCAACGAATTTGATCATAAACCTAGAATGGCACTATGGGTCATCAATCAGTCATTATGTCCTCATATTAGCCTCATATTAGCTTTCTAGATTAGGATTACGTGGCTTATCTCTCACGCGGTATGAACTGTGATGTCCAGCCACTTGCGCTGTATTCTCTCGCCAAAGTTTTATTTTTGTCGCATCGACTTTCGCGAAACGGAGTATAACACCGGAAAAAACTCGGGCCCTTAAAGGACTTTGATTTTAAAAGTATGTATTATTGTCGTAGTGCTGTTCTGAATGCCATAAATATAAATATTAAAACATAAAAAGCCAGTGTTTTCCACAGGCACTTCCATGGCCCTAAATCAGAGCTCCATAGCCATAGTCGCGATTGTCAAAATCTTGCGACATGTATGTTTCTTCCAGAGCACTGATCTGTTGGTCTGACAGGTACTGTCTTTGAGATGCCCTTCCAGCGAAAATCCTTGCATCTTGGTACTCATTGAGCGTATGCATTTGTACGCCTGCTTGTAGGTGTGCATCCGATCTAGCCCTGGATTTTCCATGACTTCTGCCTATGGTGTCCTTTGGCTTCCTCCTTCTTTGATGACACGTTTGAGTAGGTGAAAAATGCAGGGGGCTATATGGTGACTGCGAATAACTAGCGTGGATGGGAGATCCTCGAGTACTGACAGGTAGTGCACTTGGGACGACTAGATGGTCATACTTTGCCAGCACGATGTAATTCACATCAGACCCTGACATTGGCGTCGGAAGCACCCAGTCTTCTGGATTCAACTCTGCTTGTAGACGCAACCAACCAGCTTTTCGTGCTGTCAGAAGCGAACACCAGTGGGTGGGCATGAACCGGGCGGACATAGTGCTTGGGTAACAACCCGGAACAGGCATCTCTGGTCTAGCCGGCCAATCAGTGGCCACGTCTCCCGTCTTCCAGTTAAATAAGCCGATGCTAGACGCGTCTAGTGGATCCAACCAAGCGCTTGGTTCGCCTCCCGGCCTCACAGCAGTGATACGGAAGACACGATATGAATATGTTTCTTCGATAACTTCACCCTTATCTTCCGACTGATCAACAGGCTCCAACTCGACTATGCCTCTACCAGCAGCTTCTTCTGTTGATATCCAACATTTTATCGCCCTATCGTAGATGTACACCTTATCATCTGATAGGTATATGTATCCACGGTAGTATGCTTCGTCTACTGTATATTGCCTGCCAGTTTTCGTGTCTACGAAACCAATTATTCTTGCCGGTCGCCAACTGTAAGCTATTCTTTCTATCAACACAAGACTTGGCAAATCCTCAGTTCGCACTCTGTTGTCGAAAATGGGATCGGAAGCGGTCATTGTGACAAACCCTTCAGCTTGAGCGTCCTCCATCAGGACTGGGGCTCCAGTATCTGGGTCGATATACATCTCTTGGTCACCAGCCCTGCACCACCCTGAGCGGACAGCAGTGCCTATCGGATTCCGAAGTCCTGTGTTGGAGCTTGTCATCTCTTGAATATGATCAGTCCAATAGATTTCACATTCTCTCCTAGCTTCCATCATTTCGTATTGAACTGTACGTTCCAGTACGGAGCACAGAATTGATTTTCTGCAAATAGAACAGAAAAATTCAATGTTTACGACTTTCAGACATATTTATTAATAAATTTACTATGCTTTTCAAAGTCAAGCGTAAAAATCCCCAACTTATTCCTAAATGACATTTTCTGTCCACGATGTTACGGTCTTTGCTACGCCCTGGAAATCATAGAAAGCTGCTTAGGGATAGCTGCTGCTCTGAGGTGGTGGTGTACAGCTCCTAAGGATCGGTCACTGCCACCTTGGTTGCGCCAACATCACCGAAATTTTAAAAATACCCGAACTACTTTCTTTTTATACTTTCCTCGGTTTACACTCGGGCGACGACATCAGCATGCTGATCCCATTCGCCCATTGCGATCTCTGACAACTGACAAGCTTCAAAAGACACTTGTCTATTAAAGCTCTACCTCGTTTGTTCACGTGCTTCCCGAGGATGCCTAGAGTTAACTGCGTGTTTATGTCATAGTGGGAGCAATGTATAGTTGATGTTTATTTCAAAGTGTATTCTCTAGACAACCAGGAACAAAGAACCACCGCAATACTACTGTGGCCTCAAAGATTCTACAAGAAATATGCTGCTATCCACTGTCATTCGCCTGTGGCCTACCATAACCGGAGTCAATTACCACTGTCTTTTCCCGCGTATCCAGCCAGAATTACGATTGTCAATTCAGGTACCTCACCATCAGTTCATTCGGTCGACCATACGAACTATTCTTGATTACTCTAACCCTGATTCCAAATGTCCGAAGTGACGTCCACACTAGAGACCGCAAGCACCAGGATTGAACATTGAGTGGATGCTACGACGGCTCCATAAATCAAAATTTTCATTCCACTAGTATCAATGAGGAATCATTGGTTATGGTTTGGCGTCGATTTTATCAAATTTGTGCGCTCAAACAATACCTGGTCGACATTATGAAAATCAGTGGGTTATACATTGAATCCGGGCCAGTCGACTATGAGAGCTACCTTGGGAGTCAAAAGCTTTTTGTATTGGCATGCACGTACGAGCAATTATTCTCCCATAATGGTATCTCGTAGTATGGGAACTTGTTAATAACCAGAGACAGTTGAATGCATTTGTCACCCGGGGCTGATTACAATCCGTCATAATCGTGTCCTATCAGTCCAGTGGCATCGGTGTCATTGCGATACTATTTTCCGCGTACATTGCACGCAACTGTTCCTTCCAGTACTGCACGTGCACCAGCTGTCAAGCTCCGCTTACACCGAATGATCTATAGAACCGACCCTGTCGGATGCTTCAAACATCAGTGAACGAAACGCTTCGAATATACACATATAGTGGAAAGAGAATTGGACTTAAACGTCATGAATCTTGAGGTATGCTTCAGCAGTTAATCAACCACGATCAATTAAGTTTGTGTTCCATCTTGTACACTTGTCATCCACTAGCCGTACGGTCGACCAACAATAGAGTACCACGCAATTACTCAATCATTTGCTTTGAATTCCACTCGTTGTCGCTTATAAGGCTGCATGCTTACTACACTGACCTGTCGCTGAGTTATGGTCATCCTGGTCTACCCGTGGTCACCCGTGCTCACAGCATGCAATATTGGGCTTCAGATGTAACCCATCGGACCCCGCATTGCTGTTGACTCAGATCTGCTCTCTGTGCCACAGACACTAGGCGACGTGAGCCATTCGGAAGTTGTTTCGGTGCAGTGCCATTTACACGCGCACTTGGTTGATTTGTATTGGCAAGGTCGTGCAGTTGTTTATAGCAACGTTTTGTGTATTTTCCGCAAGAACTGTACTGGATGCGTAAATATGGGACGAATAGGGGATTTCGGCAGGCACGGTGCGCCAGGCTTCGCCCGTCAGCAGCTTGTCTCCTACACTCACTACAATCATCGCTTGGCGAAAGACCACTCCACGCAGGCAGAGGCTTATTCCTATCAGTAGCGCACTCATTTCTTGAATCCAGCCACCTTCACTTCTAGCTAAATCACAACTTATAGATGCTCAGTGTACTCGGTCGGTTTGATGGTATAAATCCCCACCACACACTTCAAGCTCCGATGTTTTTCAGAGCTCTGTTCCCACTTTATTTTCTCTCTACGTTGGATCAGTACTTGCGTTTAGTGAAGCTGTTTCCTCAATACATGCGGACGACATCCTGTTGGGTGCCATTCATCCAACCATGTCCAGTCATGCTAGATAAAGCACTTATCTGTGCCAGTGATCCGGTCAGATTCTGAGTACATGTCATCGAACATCGCGAAATACAACAATGTTCTTTCACCATATATGGGAAGCCGATACCGGTAACCCTTCACTCAAGTTCACATCGATAGTGGAGATTTGCTTCCACCCACACTGACTTGAAACCATACTTTACCATGATCATTCCATTTGAATAAATATTTCACAAACTTGTGGGGTCTTGGCTTCCATTTCAGGATCCCCTTTCATTGTTGCTTGACTTTGCGATTCACCATTACATGCGGTCAACCTCATCGGACATTATGGTCTAGCGTAAATTTTTCTTTTCCACCGATTATAGATGCTGGTTAATATACGAGCCTGTTGAAGTAATTGTCTAATTGTGAATGCATTCCATGGTACATAACTAACTAAACAAATCTCTGTGGAGGGTTTTGGTGTTGCTATCTGCAAGTCCTGCACTCCACTATCGACAGTTTCGTCCTTGTTTGAACTCATCAGGTAGATAACCTTTGCCGGGAATGGAATGCTGCACAGTGGCTGGTGAATATCGCCATGATCACTAGACTATTGAGATCCGCGAGCAGCGCTTGACACAGCGGGTGCTTCAAAATCTGACAATTACATAAACGTTTATTATAGATTTTCACGGGACGCGCCTGAACAGGTATTATCAGTCGATTATTAAGAATACTTTAGCTCGGGGTAGAGCCAAAGATATTCGGCTGCTCCAGCCTGGTGACGAGACGTTTGCAGCCGATACTCGGCTCGGAGAGCAACCGAACACCTTCATCACCGACTTTTGTCGATGCTATTATGCTTACATTGGTTCATATAAACACGTGTGACGAGTCATGAACACTAGACACATCCTTACTAGCTTTGCACCTGAACATGTGTTCTCCCCTTCCAAGTAACATAGAACACGACGTAGGTCCTCACGTGGTCACGCGGTTCTTCGGTTATAATTTCTGCGAAGCCAACCTGCTAATCGATAATTGACCGTGAAAATCGACCAGCTTTGGCACCTGCTATTGTCTGCTTTGTAAATTATTCCGTTTGTGACTTTTACTTGCGATGTTCCTGCTTTCTCATATCAGTGCAGATGGTGTGTGTGTGTGTGTCTTGCAGCTAAATATCCATTCTCCCCAAGTGCATAAAACACTTCCTTGGCTTGATTTCAGGCAGCCTAGTTCACTTTGGGTTCTATCTAACCGGCAGTTAAGATAAACCATCTCAGTGGTCGAGGCTACTTGGTGCTGTTGTTCACGCAAACGAATTTACCAGCTTTTCTGAAACCATTAAATCTTTGTTCGTTGGAAGGAAGTTATTTGGCTGGTTACTGCTTGCTGGTCTTTTCCCTCCTTCGTCTATGAGTTTAGCCTGGCAAGCGTTCTTTCCGTGCATAATGTAGGTAGCGTTGCAAGAAAAGGCTACTTTGTTGGTTTCCTACATTACGAGAGCACAAGTATATTTTTGCTGGTTATTTGTTCGTAACTGGAACCAACCTTTGATCTTAGATCGATGTACAAGCTCAACTTGTGAAGTACTTGAATATCCATAATCTGCCTCGTTTCTTCGATAATCACTCGCGGTCTCTGGACAACAACCGCCCGCAGTGTAATTTTGTCGCTATCGACATTTACGATGTCCAGTCAACACCGTTGACTATTGGTCTGTACTCTCTCATTGGTCTATGATACGCATCTGAACACTATAAATTGTTAAATGCGTCTGCAACCCATTTCAGTGACCGACTTTGTGAAACCATCTAGCACGCAAACAACAGTACCACTGAATGCCTTTCTATCACCGATAGTACTAACCGTCACTGGCGTTTTACTTCCTCTCTCGTCCCTTCGATTTTCACTTGACAGCCGTTAACATTTAGGTATAACTACTAGACAACACACATGTCCTACCATGAAATGCCATTAGTATCGCTTCGGCGCATTGGACCATTCAGCCTGATTGACTACAGATACTTCTGCCAACAAACAATATCTTGACACTCCTAGTCTCGGGACCGTGTGGCGTTGGATTTCTTTTCCAAGAGGGTGACGGTTATCGGAAACAGTGCGAGAATGTGAATGAAACCTGAATTCAGCAATGCACTTTGCTTGAAGACCAAATAGAACGTCCTTCCAAACTTAGTTGTTCGCTTCCCAACCCTAGGCATTCCCAAAAAGGATTGTATTTTGCATTGCAATCTTTACGCTTTGTTACATGTGCGGATACTATGGATACAATCAGGCTAACTAGATTCTTTGTAATTATCGCAAACAATGACGCAGAGGTATGAGCAATCCTATATTTATTTACTATTAGCATCAACTATACCAACTTGTTAATTCCTTTTGCATGGTACCGTGCCACTCTCACAACCGTATTATTTTTATTCACTTACTCTATCGATTCACCGATGCGCATTTCCTTTGATCCACTTATGTAATATTCCAAGTTGCAATTTCTTCTGTTACCAACCTGCGGGAGATGTTAAGCATGTGCTTTTTTACCCGTCATAAACCATTGTTCCATTGTTCTGCCAATTTGTGCGATCGTGCCGGATACCCTTAACGTACCTATCGATGATGGAGACTCGTAACCTCTCAGTCTTCTACTTACAACTGCGACTAGTGATTGGCCAGTCCAAACGTCTGTTCTGACTCTTGTCTTCCAAACCTCAAAATCCTGGAAGAGAGATTTAAGGTCGGCGGTGACTAGTGCGCGGTCCTCTCCCATGAGTATACACTATCAGCCGAGCTCCGAATCACTTTCTTTATCGCCTGTTAGAACACACGCATAGATTACCCTGAGGGGCGCATACCCACGTACGCCGTGCAGTTGAGTGGGTAATATCAGGCTTTCTTCTACTGTTGTTCGTCAACCATGGATTATCTTCGCCAACTCAATTACCTTTATGTACCCGTTAGCAACAATCAGCAATTCACTTCCTACTCTCTAGGACTATCTCCATACCGATTTCTTGAATGACAACTTGCTCGCAGCGTTATAACTTTTACCGATTAGTATTCAACTGTACTGAGAACAGCATGTCAGTGAGCATAGTGTGGCCTGCTGTTCTTTCGATGCACTTGATGACCCATCGAAGAATCGCATCACCTTGTGGACGTCTTCATTCATTCAATTCGCTCAATGGATGCCTCAATTTGGCCATGGTGCTGCGCAGTGAACCGCATACAACAAATCGGTTGATTACTGGTCTCATTCTGGACAACCATTTATGCTAGAGATTATTCCAACCTGTGTCATCTGGAACAATTGCGGTGAAGAACTCCCAAATGGTTGCGGTCCGCATTCCCCTTCACATGCTTGCAGTCAACGCAAGCGCAGCAGTAAACATTGAAGGAAGTGAGTGCTGGTTACAAAGTATTGGAAGATACTTGGAACCGATCGAGTAGTCATGAGTTCAGAGAGGTTTGGAAACAATCGGTTGGTATAATAGTTTGGTAACGTTTCGCCCTCGACACGAGAGCTTCGTCAGACCAGGTGAATCAGTGTGCAATTGGTGTGGGATTTTATAGCGAACAGGGGCGATAACCGCGTTACCCGAGACTTGAGTCATGATGTCATTACAGTAACAGTTGGTGATGTCACCTCAGGTGGTACGATCACAGTGGGAATAGTCCAGGGGTTCCTTTGTGCGTCATGACAATGACGGATAAGCCCATAGTGTTGACAATGGGAGTCGGTTTGCACTTTCCAATCTGATCCACGCACCGATGCTCGTCAAGCTGGCTGGCTTAAGACCGCCCGCCACGCATTAGGGAGTTCTACCCCCTCCATTCTATTCACGCAGTCGTCAGATTTGGCAATTTCCACCGCCTCGGCAATCAACCGCTGAGTGGTTGATCGTATACCCCTCCTAATGACCTCTACGTTTTCGAGGTCTATCTGGTGACCCGTGTCTAATGCATGCACAGCTACGGCCGAGTCTCTTACTATTGCCTGGTATTCAAACTCGTTTCTTGGTAGTCTTGAAATGCGCCTCCTATGCTCCGAAATTCGTGTGCGTAATTCTCTCGCTGTTTGGCCTATGTACACATGTGCACAGTCCTTACATTTAATTTTATAAACACAGTTAGTCGTCCTATCCTTGGGAAGGGGGTCCTTCAGGTGTACCAGCGCCGAACGTAACGTTCGACCTCGCTGAAAGATCACCCTTATATTTTCCTTGTTTAGTACCCTCCGAATTGCCTCCGAAGTGCCTTCCTTGTACGGAATTCCGACCGTCCCTATCCACTCGGCTGGAGGTCTTGACTGCCGGTGTAGCACTTTATGCAATTGGCGTTTGACAAGCCGCCGTGGGTAACCACTTTCTAATAGTTTGCTCATTGCCACTTTCCGCGCAGCCTTTTTGTCCTCCTCCATCGTGCACAAGGTTTGTGCCCTGTAGAACAGCGCTGACGCTATCCCAGCGTAAACCTGTTTCGGATGACCCGAAGTGTAGTGGAGTACGCCGTCAGTATCCGTTGGCTTACGATATATTGTCGTCTTTAAATTTCCCCCATTCCTGTGAACCAGACAGTCAAGAAATGGTATTGTGCCGCTACAAGATTCCAACTCAATAGTAAACTGTATTCTCTCATCAATGGAGTTTAAGTGATCAAGCAACTCGTCCTTCTTATCCCGTTTAACAAGTACAAAGGTGTCGTCTACATAACGCCACCAAACTTTTGGTGAGTTAATGGTGTTTGTTAACGCCCGGTTCTCGAAGTCTTCCATATACAGGTTCGCCAGTACAGGAGATATTGGCGATCCCATGGCGAGACCTTGTTCCTGACTGTAAAGCTTCGACTGAAAAACGAAGTAAGACATGTTAAGACACACTGTCATACCCTCGATTATCTGGCTAACTGTTAGTTTCGTCCGATCATTCAGAGTGACGTCTTCATTTAGACGACGTCTCGCTATTCCTAGCGCCTCTTCTTTGGGTACATTTGTGAAAAGTGATGTGACATCGAAGCTGACCATCAACTCATCTGACTCAATTTTGAGACTTGCTATCTTTTGAGCGAAATCATAAGAGTTTTTCACGAATGTACTCGTTCCCCCTGTTAGAGGCTGCAATAGCCTTGCCAAATATCTCGCAAGTTCATGGGTCGGGGAGCCTATACCGTCGACTATGGGCCGTACGGGAACTTCGGGTTTGTGAACTTTTGGCAAGCCATAAACCCTCGGAGGTAAAGTCGATTTTGGGTATAGACTGTACCACTTGCCTGCCCCTAAATCCTCTTTCACGGTTCTTAAATAGTTACCAACCTCCGTTTTACTCTTGTTCATTACTGACGCCACGGTCTTATCAACAACTACTCTATATGGACCCGTCTCCAAATGTTGTCCCATTTTTCTAAGTATTCTGACTTATTCATTACAACCAGGGTTTTTCCCTTGTCAGCCTTTGTAAGTACAATGCTGCGGTCTTCCTTCAAGGAATTTAATGCGTTACGTTCAGTTTGCGGAAGATTTGGCTCACCCGGTTGCTGAAACTTAATGATATTTACTAACTGTGCCCGAATATTCTCTGCCTTCGTAGCGGGCAACTTTGTCACCGCGCTCTCAATGCTTGGGATAATCTCTTCTGCATATATCTTAGATTTATTGATGGTAAATGTCAAACCTTTCTCCAACAATCTACATTCCGTTTCATTCAAAACCCTATCTGACATATTAACTACATTACAATAGGTACTAATAGACCCGGAACTGTCAGTAGGACCGGTAGCATTAGGATGCACAGACATTAAACGCTCGAACTTACGCATTTGTCTTTTCTTTGCATCCTGCCCTTGTTTCAATTTGACGTCTGATGCCTTATTGAAAATTCGGTTGTAGTCGAGAGGCGTTATGGCGGTCTGTAGATCCAGGCTCAGCCGACTCGCGTCGATGCGGATCTCGCTTAAACGTTTGGTCACTAGGTAAATCCGCTGTTTCAGAAAGGCCTTGGAAGCATTAAATGCAATCCTTGCAGAGGTGTACGTACTGTCCGGAGGTTTCACTGTGAGACATTTGGGGATCAGGTTAGTCTTAAGACATGTTGAAAACGCGATGATTCTCCCAGTTCGCTTCAAGCCTCGCCAATCGAACGAATTCACTTGACAGTTTTCGAACACGGGGTCCGTAATTGGTTTCAAATTCTTGGAAGATACTTGGAACCGATCGAGTAGTCATGAGTTCAGAGAGGTTTGGAAACAATCGGTTGGTATAATAGTTTGGTAACGTTTCGCCTTCGACACGAGGGCTTCGTCAGACCAGGTGAATCAGTGTGCAATTGGTGTGGGATTTTATAGCGAACAGGGGCGATAACCGCGTTACCCGAGACTTGAGTCATGATGTCATTACAGTAACAGTTGGTGATGTCACCTCAGGTGGTACGATCACAGTGGGAATAGTCCAGGGGTTCCTTTGTGCGTCATGACAATGACGGATAAGCCCATAGTGTTGACAATGGGTCAGTTTGCGAAACGTTACAAAACTATTATACCAACCGATTGTTTCCAAACCTCTGAACTCATTAGTGCTGGTTACTTTTTTTTAGAGCCGTGCACCCTCCGTCGGAAGTCTAAAGCAACCGTTGTCTTCCCCAATTACCTCTACCGAAGGCCAGCAGGCGTCAGCGCTGTGTAGGGCTTACTCATCTGTGAAATGCATTTAGTCTAGATTTCTACACGGTACCTAAGATATGGTACTTTCACAGATAAACCAAATAGGTGTGAACTTACACTTCAGGGACATAATATTGACTGATGTCCCTGTCGGATGCGAATCGCTTGCTGGTTCCTCTTGCAGATCCTCGCCGGGTACTGATTGCTTCGATTGACTCCACGGTTTTTGTAGCCACTATATTCAATTTTGTGGTAGCTTCACTGGGCGCATCTTTAGATAGATCAGTCTGCACGCCTGCATGTGTGAACTTTCGGTTGTAGGTGGTTGGCTGTGTCACTTGACAGTATACACTCCTTTGTCCAACTCCTACGCTCACACCGGCCTCCTTGATCTGCTTGGTCAATGTCCCCCTTGCCTGAACGGAGAAGACTCTCGGTTCTGTCACTCGCATGCAAGCAAACACTCCGACTTCAGCTCTTTCGGGGGACACTGGCCGGAAACTGGTGCCCACTTCCCGAAAAGTTCTGTAGAACTCGTCAGCCGTAACTTGCCACTCGCTTTCAAACCGGGCGAAATCGAGATGCATATTCGCCCAATCAACCATGTAATCTGACCTGCAGAACTGTCTTTCTTGCAAATCACGCTCCGACTCGGAGGAAACAAGATACTCCAAATTTGAGACGACGCTTTCGGACGTTTCAGTGAAACGCTCAGTCAGTACAAATGTCACTGCATCGTTGATCGTCTGAGTGAAAGAATCAGCACAGGTAAGCAGCGGTCTTGTTGCGATGAACGGATAACCGAAATCACATACTATTGGAGAACGCAAACGCGATGTGAGCTGCGGGACCGGATATTCACCACAACATGAAGAAGTTACGCAAACAGAATCCGTCAAAAACAGTCTGGAAGACGAACTAACTAATATAGGACGGTACAGCGAAGCTGCTTTGGACATAAAGATATGGCGGTTAAAGTCCGTAACACAGGTGGATGGCGAGGACGAAGTTCCCAGAGTATATTGCTTCTGCACATGTACAAGTGGTGTAGCACCACGCCCAAAATGGAGCTCCATGCTGTCCCCGGTAAGCATCGTTACCGTGCGATCTAAGCCATGCTGCATCGCGGCGTCGCGAAATACCGTGGCAGTCGTGTGTGTGTCCGCGTGTCTCAAAGCAGCAGTGCTGCTTTTGATTCCTTGTCCTAGTAGATGAGAATGTGCCTGGAAGAGAGCGGACGCCGTCTTTGTAATGCTTCTGTAGGTGTAAGGTGTCTGAGTAGTAGTGTATGTGGCGGAGGTGTTTGTGATGTGTGGTGTAGTTGGTGTGGCTTGTATGTGTTGTACGGATTGTGTGCTAGATTTGGTGGTAGTGGTTTGTGTGGCGGCAGTGTTTGTTAGTTGTATGTGCTCCGTGGTTTTGTTGGTAGTGGTATGTATGAGTGGAGTTGTGTGTAGTATGGAATGTGTGTGTGCTTGTAGGAGTGGTGCGGTCTCTGGCGTCCATTTGAGTTGTTTGTTGACGTCGATGAGTGGTGTTTGTGTTGGTTGTAGATGGTGTTGTGATGCGGCGTGTGCATATTTGGTGGTAGTGGTGTGTGTGTCGGCGTGTTTGACAATGGTAGTGGAGGTTTTTATTGGTTGTGTTAGTTGTTGTGAATGTGCGTGGCAGAGAGTGGGTGTTGTCTTTGTGGTGTGTGTGTCGGTGTAAGGTGTCTGAGTAGTAGTGTATGTGGCGGAGGTGTTTGTGATGTGTGGTGTAGTTGGTGTGGCTTGTATGTGTTGTACGGATTGTGTGCTAGATTTGGTGGTAGTGGTTTGTGTGGCGGCAGTGTTTGTTAGTTGTATGTGCTCCGTGGTTTTGTTGGTAGTGGAATGTATGAGTGGAGTGGTGTGTAGTATGGAATGTGTGTGTGCTTGTAGGAGTGGTGCGGTCTCTGGCGTCCATTTGAGTTGTTTGTTGACGTCGATGAGTGGTGTTTGTGTTGGTTGTAGATGGTGTTGTGATGCGGCGTCGACGTGGTTGTGTTGTGTAGTCTGTGTGTGAAGTTCCTGGGTATATTTGGTGAGAAGTGCTTGTGAATGTGCGTGGCAGAGAGTGGGTGTTGTCTTTGTGGTGTGTGTGTCGGTGTAAGGTGTCTGAGTAGTAGTGTATGTGGCGGAGGTGTTTGTGATGTGTGGTGTAGTTGGTGTGGCTTGTATGTGTTGTACGGATTGTGTGCTAGATTTGGTGGTAGTGGTTTGTGTGGCGGCAGTGTTTGTTAGTTGTATGTGCTCCGTGGTTTTGTTGGTAGTGGAATGTATGAGTGGAGTGGTGTGTAGTATGGAATGTGTGTGTGTGCTTTG